GAGCTTATTTTTGTATTAAACGTTAAAATAAAATTTGTGATGAACAATTTTGCAGTAAGATATAGCTAATAATAATAATATGTCTATATAATACGCTCTCTCGAATTTTATGTGAAAATAAAATTAATATTCAATTTTCAATTATTAATAATATTGGGTACCTACTCGTTTTAAAGCCGTTTTTATTATAAGATTTATTAAAAAAATAGTCTTAAATAATTTATTTATTCATGTTTAAATTGTAATTATTTCATGAAAATAGAAGGTATTATGAAAAGTTAAAAAAATAATTACAAAGATATATAATAATATATGTATACATATCAGCCTATACAAAATCTTTAGGAGTATAAGATAATATTGTAAATATTTCTTTGGGTTAGGTTAAGCTATTTTATTCCATCACATACCTAGTAAGAGTTTGTAAAATACTATAATGTAATATTTTATATTTGTAGTATTGTGAAATATTATGATTTGATGAAATAAATATTTTTTATTTAATTTAAGTAGACTAGTCCAAATAACTAGTCTACCCTAACCTAAATAACCTTTTTATAATTAAGGTTAAGGACTAAGGTTAAGGTTACGGTTACGGTTTTTCATTTTTGGAAATAAAGGTTCCGGTTCCTAATTTTTTAAGGTTAACCGGTTCTTTTCGGTTCCGGTTTTGGTCCCTGAAGACGGACGATACATCCTATTTTCCGTTAGTCATTGCGTCATTACGCCGTATTAACACGTATATCACACATTTTACGTAAATATTATATTTTATTATTATTATCGTCGTTCGGAAATTGTATAATATATATATGAAGGGTTAAGGGGAAAAACGATCATAGTCAAAAAAAAGAAAAAATCAAATAATTATAGTACTTTTTGGCTAGTTTTATAACGAATCGACACGTGAATCGAGTCATGGAAAAAAGATCACGGTCAATGATATAATACAGGTTTAAATATTACCAAAACGGGAAAAAAAGGCCAGGGTCCCACTTTAAAACTGCAATACTGAACATTTTAGGATTATTGACTGTTAACGTTTTTCCCCGTAACCCTTCATATATATTTATGCTAAAATATGTTATCATATAAATTAACCGTTTTATACGATTTGAATACTGTATATACGATATACCTATGTTTTTGAAAAAATATCTAAAATCGTTGAGGAATAATTACCTGTGGTAATTTTGTAATAATTAGAAAAAATTATTTTTAAAGAGATATTTAATGATATTTTTGCCACTATAGCTGCAAATAATCGTCTAGCTGTGGGGCGCCACTTGGTTCCAGGGTGTACTTAGGCACCTCTATTTTTTTTTCCTCATCTTATAATTATCCCGCCTTGCAATCTACAAACCATTTTAACAGGGGCGGACTGGGGGCCCTATAATTTATATAATAATACAATGTGTCCCGAAGGGAAGTGACATCATGATGAAAAATACACTTTAAAGAGTGGGATTATTTTTAATAATTGGCAATTAACTTTTTTTTATTGAAGTCGAACCCATTACAACTCATCATTTGTTTATATTGTATTTTTAAAACTTTTCAACGTTTTGACGTATTTTTTTTTTTATTTTAAAGCTACTTAATATTCCTATCAACCAATATAGTAATACAACCAGAAATGTGTAAATTATTTTTAATACTTTTAAGAAATAAAAAATTTGTTCCTTTAAAAGTATTACTCCAAATAATTTAGTATTTACTAAGGGTTAATTTTTAAATGTTAACTTTTTTCAATTTAATACAAAGAATTTGTAAATTACTCTATTCATTTTGTATGTTGGTTGATAAGACAATTAAATAGCTTTAAAATAAAAAAAAAATTAGGTCATATAATGTAGAAAAGTTTTGAAGACACATAAACAAATACATGATATGTTTGGTTTTGATAAAAAAAAAGTTAATTGCCCATAACTTATAAAAAAGGAAAAGTTAGACCCATACTCTTTAAAGAGTATTTTTTCATAATTTTCATTACTTATCTTTTCACTTCATAAACTAAGCTATACCTACATTACCAAATGACATATCTTTTGATAATAACCCTTTTTTTTCTGCTGACCGTCTCCGCATCTGATATATTTCAAAGGTGGCAACCCTAAATTCTTATTGTATGGCAATGTTACATTTAAAATTATGCTGAATCATGTATATATTAAATTTGCGGAGTCGTGATGTGTATACCAATAACTATTAAAATCTACATGGTTCCGCAGATTTTCAGGATCAAAGGGAATTGCATCCAGATTTCTCAAAGACCCTTTTCGACCATTCCTTTTCTCTGCGAGCATATAAGAAAGCTGCACATTTAATATAATTGCAAGTTACTAGTAAGTGCCGATTTCTTAATTCATGATCGTATAATACAGATAGTACCTTTTTGACGGTTACAATGGTTTTATTGGGGATATCTGATTTCTACAAACGACAATCTGGCAGTTTTCTATTTATTATTCTATTACATTTTGTTCATTCGTTATAATGATATGTAGGTAAGCATAATATCATTACATATTATGTAGATGGGAAGTATTTATATTATATACTTTTTTTTATATAGATAAATTAATTTTGTTTTAAATGCACTTTTGTATTTGGGTCAGCAAATCCCGTCTATTCGAGCTTCCGATAATAATTATTGATAATATACTCATATAAAAGACTGTCGTAGGGGATAATGGGCGAATTCATTCCATCAGTTAAGTGATACAACTATAAAATTAACATTTTTAGTTTAACCTAAAACGTAAAATAAGATAAATACTAACGGTTTCCCCAATTATTTTCTTTTTACCACAGAATTACATTGATTTGCCCTTTCTTCTCTATGTGTGGAATAGGCCTAAAGTAGCTTGCCACTCGGAAACACCATGATAAAAAAAAACCATACCATTACCTCGTGCGACATTAAATATGATACACATATTGGGTACCTATATTACATCTACTTGTTTGTCATTTAATTTGTACTAAGCTGGTGAGGAAACTTGCAATACCTACTTAAAATATATTACCATTAGGTATATATTACTATACAAGTATACAACATATAATATCGAATCAAATGTTAATTATTTCCATTATAAATCTAAAACTGTAGAATATCGTTGTAATAAACTCAAACAGGTAACCTATCTATTAAATTCGTCCTATTATGATTTATATTTCATGATATTATATTGCTATATCGGATACCTACATGAGCATATAGCCGGTAAAAGTATAACCGGAGATGTGCGAGTATGCTTTTTCTAAAAAAATTATATTATATTAACCCTCTACAATATAAATAGGCAAAAGGTATATTTTACGAATGAGAGCATTATGAATGTATACCTATACCTACTATGATACACTAATACGACTGGTATACGAGCATACATATTATATACTCTCAATTAAAAAGGTGGGCAATAGGTAAGTACCACTCTGATGTACATGTCGTGTAGGTGTCGTGCGGGTCACTGTAATGTATGTATTAAATTTGAATACAATGATATATTGATATTATATCATTGTAATTTGTATACGAAAAACGATTCTAAGCGAAGACTGTCGGTCAGCCTATATAACTAAATATTTATATTATGATATATTTATTTTACTATTAGTAAAACAATAACTTGAAGACATTTTTATATTTTTTTTTTTTTTGAAAATGTTATTGAGTGAATAAAATATAATAATAGAATAATAAAGTTCAAAAGGTTCAAGTAACCTACCCACGAATTATATTTTTGAATTACAACAAAATAACTAAAATCGTTTTCTTCGTTTAAATCTCTAATTTATCGTCCATATTTAAATTAATGTATCTTTAAACAAAACTGTATTATATTAAGTTTTTTTTTTTTTTTTTTTTTAATTGATCTTTTTAAAGCCCAGCGACTATGGCCATTAGCTTGATTGTAGGGTTTATGATTGTAGGTAGTAGGGTTTGAAATTGTAGGGTTATTACACGTGTGTGTTGTGTTTTTGGCAGAATTTCTATTGGGGCACCCGTAGGTTTCTGCCATGCCCCGGAGTGGGGGATGGCGGCACTCGTTCTCCGGACACCGAGACTTGCCCGGAGAAAAATGCCGCCCAGTGGTCGAGAGAATCGAACCCGCGACCGCCAGCGCCGCAGACGACGTGTTCGACCGCTCGGCCACCTCGTCCCCCAATATATTAAGTTTATTTAGATTTTTTGGTTACAGTATGAACTACTTATGAAAATCCTTGTTTAAAATTTGAAAGTTTTATACATTTTCGACTAAAAATTATTTGAAAATATTTAAATTCTTTATTTTACTTTTTTTCCTTTTCCTTATTTTTATGTGAAACATCTAATGCGTTGGGTGAGACCGTCTTGGGACTCGTAACTCTACGGCTTCCTTACCAATCCAGTGTTGTAAAAAATAAAAAAATGTTCAATTTTTATAGCTAAGAATTGCAAATATAAAACAAGGATTCTCATAAATAGTTTATACTGTAACCAACAAATCTAAAATATATATAAACACAGTTATTTTTTATAAATATTTTATGTTCAGATTTGGACCATAGTCCCCACAACAATTTCTTTCAGTTCATTTAAACACAATTGAATGAATTTGACATGGTTATTTTTTTACAATTTGTTAATCCTCTAATGGATTTGGAATCTCTCCGTATTACATAAACCAGAATAATATTGGAAATATTATAAAGCAAATTCGCCCAATACCAGAAATTTGTTTTGATCGAAGTTGTACACTCAACACTCAGCACATTTAAAAATATATATAAAATAAACATCGTTGAATTAAAATAAATTAAGACACGAGTTTAAAGAAAACAACATGTATTCATTAGGTATCTAAATCATAAATGTTAGTTATTGAATTTTTAATATAGTACCGGAGGGTTCACATCTTCATTACGCACTTCTCGGAAAATATGAACATATTTTTTTATACTAATTAACTTTACATGCACTTACAGAGTACAGGCGCAACAGCATGTAATCAACTGCAGTAATATTGTCCTGAAAAATAAAATATTAATTTTTAATTTTTTTAAATTTTAGCCATCTGGTTTTAATAGAACTCCCGATTTACCTGTTAATATCACTTTAATCCAATTAATGTTTTTTACTGTCGTCAGTCTGGTGTGCATGGATGGCGTCGATTCATCACATGCAAACCTGTTGCTAACTACACCAATAATGTTCAATCTCCCGGTTGAAGGGTCGGACCACAGAAGTGGGCCGCCCGAATCAACTTGACAATAAGAATTGACTTTGGTGAAGTGTGCGCACAACTGATTGCGGTCGGTCTCATTTTTATACTTTTCAACACATTGTGACGTCGGCACAACCTTGAGATGCGATTTCTGGAGTGTTCCAGACACGGGATGATCGTCAAAGTTTACAGTCCCCCAGCCTGCGTAAAAGGACATAATATATTTTGTTATGAAAGCAGGTAAATAAAATGAACACGAGTCAGCGGTGGATCTAACAAAAACGACGTTAATACATGGGTACGGCGAGTTATTGACGACTTACCTAGGACTCTGATGGTATCGCCGACGAAATCGTCGTAAACGTGCTTGAATGGCAAACACGCCGGTCCTACCTTAGACGAAAACGGAATTACTTCGTGAGTTTCAACGATGGCCAAGTCGTGTGTGACGGATGACTGATCGAACAACGGGTGTATATAAATTTCGGTGACCACGACCAACAATGACGGATCGCCATCACTACCTGTCAATCAGTATATATATAGATATATTATGTAAATAGGTATATAGACATATATGTAAATCGGCATATAGATATATTATGCAAATCGGTATAAAGTACTAGGTACATAATAATTATATACGAGTTCTGAGCTAATTAAATTGTATGCAATTTGAAAAATGTCTTGCAGAAAAATGTTTTTAAAAACACATATTTATTAAAAAAAGAAACGTATGACAAAATTGCTTTGGATTTTTACATTGAACAAATGCAGACAAACTGTACAAAACGAAAACTGTTCAACGATGATATAAGATTTACAAAAAAAATACCATTCAATTGACGTGATTTTTTTTATGCAGAAATATTAATAAATAGATAGGTACCTCCTATACACTATTAATAAATATTAATAAATTAGTATAAAAATAATTAATAAACCATAGAATGATAGTTTCAGATAGTACGCTATAGTTCATATTTCGTTCATTTTGTATATTATTCTGTCATATAATCTCAATTCTCAAATACTAAATAAAAGATTTAATGTTGATAATTCGTGTTGGATTTAAAAAAAAGCCCTTATTAAACATTAAAAATTTAATTAAATTTAACTACTTGCCATAATCTACTCCAAAATTACCATTGCTAAAATGCTATTAAATCGTTAGTTCTAAAATTATATTATAACTTAAACAGGGTTATTTAATGCACAAAATATTAATGTTGTTAAAATAAATCAATATTATGTTAAATCCTATTATATCGTTTTTATAGTTTAAGAACATAAAATTTGTATATTTGAATTGCCATTGGTTTGAATAGTACACACCAACTCAACTATTTTGAATACATAAGTTAATTATTAGCCGAAACACAATTTATATGGTCCAACAAAAAAAATATGACCTAATTCGTTACACACTTATAAAATAAATACCTTATTTTGTGGTAGATTTTAGAGTTTTCCATAAGTCATAACTATATGAAATATCCGAGTATACCATATTAAAATTAAAATTAAAATATATACTATTTATTTTATTTTACAATATTAATTATTTTTTGTTTATACATATAAGTACATTGAATTAAAAATAACATAATATATTTTCCTTTTACGGTCCATAATAAATAAAATTTTAATTATTAATTTCCTTAGCACCTAATCCTTACGCTTCTCGATGTTTTAACTTGTCGTCGTTCATAATTTTGTAAATTCTAAAATGTATAAGTACATTTAGAATTTTAATATTAGTTAAATAACTTATTGACTAAAATGGTTTAAATCATAAAAAAAAAAATAAACGAAGAGGCTGCAGTTAGAGGATTAAAATTGAATTTATAATGAGACATAATTGCTTCATCGTATACCTTTTCTCGTATTAACTTGTAAAAGTTTTTATAATTCTTAAATAATTTATGTAATATTAAATTTTTTTATAAGAAGGTTCCGCGTTACTTATATTTTGTAAAAAAGCACGAGAGCAGAGAGGGATTAACATTTTAAATATATATCTTACGAAACAACGAACGACTCATTCATTAATGCATTTACAAAAACAAAACGAATCGTATTAAGATATTTTCATAAATTATGTTAAAAAAAAACTAAATATTTTAAGCATAACAGAAAACTCATTAAATGATTAACAACGCGAAAGATTGAAATGTATAGGTAATGTATACTTTATGAAACCTTTGAAGAAAACAATATTTTAGAACATGCTGTATACGATGTAGGTACCAGCGGTTTATCTAAGGGGGGCAAATGGTTAGGTCCCCCCACACATAGGCTGTTTATAATACTCAAAAGTTTTCAGGATCCTAACTTCAGTCCTCTAACTTTAAAGGAGGGGATACTGAATAAAATCATACCCCCACCCCCCAAGACAAAAATCTAAATATGCCACTGGTAAGTTTGTCTATGATTGTCTGGATTTGGTGGAAACGAAAATCAAATCTCATTTCACGTCTGTTATGACTGAAACGATTAGTTCGTCCCCTTGGCCCCTGCTGCAAATTTCCAAAACCAGTACAGATATCCACCCTTTGTTAATATTTTAACGTACGCCTACCTATAGAGGTCATATCGTGGTCGCCGACCAACAGGGCAATTTGAAATGGATTGACGTTTGTCAGACAGCTGGCTGAAGTCAAAGCGTGGTGCCTGCTGATGATCGTCGCGCCGCAAAAAAGGTTGGCCGACTGCCCGTCGATCAGCGATGCTATTAAAGGGTACTCTTTCACGCCAGCTGTTTTCGGGTTGGCGAACACTCCCTGCGAATATCAAAATATATTAGTATATAATATAGTATTCACGATTATGGCAAGATAATTCAAATTCAAAAACAAAAACCACAGAAATGTAGGTACTTACATCTTATAAATTCCTAAAATAATTGGTCAACTTTTTACTATATAGACACTCCATATCAATATAATTTAAAATGTATACTATTAGGTTTCTGTAAAAGTATTTAAAACACATATTATACTCATATGATTGGCATAAATGACTAATTTTGTTATTGGGTGCCTAACCAAAATGTTTCCTGTATTTAGATGTATATTATATAAACACAATTTTGACAATGAAAGTCGTTACGTTTATTTAGAATTTAGATAAATTATATCAAGCATAATGTTTAAATAATATATATATATATATATATTAATGAATACATCATGAAGTCAGAGTACAGTACATATATGTTGTTATACCTGTTACAATACATAAATATCATTAGAATTAAAACTATTAACGAGGCTAAGAAAACATTTATGTAATAAATTACAACAATTAGCATTAAATGTTAGTTAGTAATTTTTAGTAGACTTAAGCCTTAAGGTGTAGCAAAATAGCAACTAAATTAACCTATAGTAATATATTATATAAAAGATAGAAGATAGAAGTGGACAAAGTTTGGTTCTTCAGCAGTGATCGCTTGATGCACGATCACTGTAGAACAAAATAATATTTAATAAAGTGTCATATTTTAATTGTGTGTATTTACTAGTATACGTCGGAAGCGATCGGTGGCGAAAGTTTCAAAATATTTTAAAAATCTCTGTAATCAAATAAGTATAATATGACCTAACTTATGGAAAAAAATAAAAAATTGAAGTCCTAAAAATATAGATACCTATATAGGTATATATTAAAATAGCAGGAATCGCCTTTTTGTAAAGTTGAACTCAACGTTAACCCATCACATACAACGTTATCCCATATATTGTGTATTTATGTTTGTAACTTCTTAATTCCTAGAGGCAACAAAAGTTTGTTTTCTCTTCAAGTCTACATTGAAACTTACAAAGCAATGCATTTGTATATGCCCTATGAAAATATAAATTATAAGTTTATGGTATCTTTCAAGTTGAACATTTCCACGAAAAACGAACTTTACCCTGTAATGTATTATGTTGCATCAAAAGTACAAAATTATTAGGTTTAGAAAATATATTGATGCGTGACAGTAAAAGAATCTGCGTCAGTACACTGAAGTCAGCGAGTGGCGAGGCAGCTGCAATGCTGCATCCTTCTCCAAAATTTCAGGAAAGTTTAAAAACGCTTTCAGTGTTCTGTGATTTTTCGAATAAGCCAACATAATCATGTAATAAAATTGTAATTTGTACAAAGGTTACGAAAAGTTCTAAAATATTATATACCCACGGAATCAGCAAACCAAATAAAAAAATTATCAACCTCTAAACGAAATTCTGGTTAGTGGTTACGCCACTGACCTGAATGTAATAACATATAATATTAATATTAACGCTATTGTTTCATATACCTGGTCTTGCTCTCCACACTCGCAGAACTGTGGGTTGGTCACGGTCTCCGGGATCCAAAAGTCCACGCGTTTCGCTCCCACCGAGCACATGAACCGTCCACTTCGGCTCTGACGTTTCGCCACAAACTTAATGTTCATCTTGTTGGTACGGCTGATAGCCGTAAACGACCTGGGTCCACAGTGCCTGACGCCGTCTGTGAAGTTTGTGTCGCCGACCCGAGACACGATCAATGCGTCCGATTCACAAAAAGAACTCTGCAGAAAAACATACAAGTGCTAAACGTATATAAGACATCTCTAACGATTATGTAATATATAAAGTATTTCATTACAAGAGGATCGCTGTAGAAAATAAATTATTTTATTTTATTTGTACATTTAGCAACAACTACTTTATTGTTATTTACAGGTTTGTGTCCAAATTAATTATACGACTGACGTCAAAGATAGGTTAAATGTATTAGTAGTCCGGGGGATAATATGAAAGTAATTGTTTGGCATGTATGATAAAGGAAATCAAATCAGATTTAAGATGTATATTGCATATACAATATATATTTAATATACATTATTAGGTGAGTGAATTTGTTGAAGAGCTTTTGAGAAATGTTATGTTTGCTTTATAGTTTACACCCTTAAGGCGTAGGGTGCGATTAAACACATGTATATTTTCATTATGAAGCTGGCAAACTTAGACTAACAACTAGAATTAATATGTTAAACGAGTATACCAATTGAAATGAGTTTTAGAGGTGAAACAGCCAACAGGGCGAAATAGTATTTCATAAAATACAGACATATTAAAGTATTTTTCAGTAGAGATTTCAACTGTTTGCTCATTTAATATAGGTACTACATAATATTATAGGGTCTTCGGTGCATTTCAAAAGGCAGTCCCATTATATTAACCGGTGTAGAATCACATAGAATATATAGGTGAACTGCAGCGTGCATCTGCGGCAACGAGTGCATTATTATATAACAATATAACCATCGGGTAGATAATATATATAGATAGGTATACCTCGGGTAAATCAAACTCGTGGCAGTCCAACACCAACCGGTCTGCGGGCGAAGGCGTCTTAGCGAACCACCGGCATTCTCGGTCCTGGTCGTCGGCCAGGTACGGGTCCGGGTAACCTGGCGAATACAAGTAGTACGACCTGTTGCCGGGCTCGATGAGCTGGTAGTACTCGCAGAGGCCGCCGTCGAAACGATAGTCGTCGAAGTCTCTGGAGTCGGCGACACACGTCGTGACGGTGCAGCACCACCATGACACCAACAGCCACGAGCCGATCGTACGCGACAGCCGCGACAGTAACGACGACGATTTGTCGCCACCGACCGTCGTCCCGCGGTGCATCATCAAAATAATATTATGTTTTTGTAAAATTATTTTACGATTGAGGAGCGTTTTTGCGAAAGTCGCGTGTCGTATCGTCTTAGGCAGCGGTCGTCGCGGTTAGTGGTTATCTGCGTTCTCGTGGAACTGCAGACGGTTTTTCAGTCAGTATATTATTATAGTTCTGTTGGACGACGCGCCACGGGTTATATTGTCGAGTGAATCGAACCGCTGCAAGGAGGCCGACAACGCGATTAACGATATTATAACATCGCGTAATGAATCATTATCGGTGTATTATAATATATGGGCAATGCGCACTGCAGTGCACCACAATATTATAATAATGCGACGGTAGATAATATAGTTCACATAATATATACATATTATAATAGAAATCAAATCGGGAACACACCGCTGCGCCGCCGACACTGTTTTCGGTCGTAATTCAATTTATTATAAACTTGGGGCGTCCGCAGATAATCGCGCACAGGAGGTAGGTAGGTGTATAGGTATAGCCGTTAAAATATGTACACACTGAATATTTTAATTAGAACAAGTTTGACGGCGATAAATACAATTTCTCCGCGTGTCGCCGTCCGACCTGTGGTGCGCGAGCGCTTTTTCACTCACCCGGACAATGAGCGAAACAATACATCGCATTTTTATGAAAAAAAAAAAATAAAGTGATATTACGAGGCGCCAGGCGGTTGGTTCTAGGTTAGATGGACGACTATAATACTGAGGGTGGAGGACAGGGTGTCGTTAAATATGAAAGCAACGATAAATCACTGCGATTCAACAAAGTGATTCTGTGCGGTGTTAACCCAAAAATTATACCTAATGGCTATTTGTTAAAAAACTGAGTTTTCGCTACAGCTCCGTTTATGCATTTTGTTACGTTGTACTCCTTATTATAATATAACAGTCATATTATTTTATATATAAAATCAGTATATTCTGATAGTAGATAACAGTGTAGTTTTACATATTATAATTTATAATCTTATTATATTACTGACAGTGAAACTTGAGCGTGTCACTGAGAAGGGTGATTTTAATGTTTAAAATATTATGTTCCCTTTCAACCTCGATGGTAGCTGAGCATTGTTTTTGAGCCCTATTTATTAACACAGATAATATTATGATTTATATTTGAAGTCGGGTTCTAACGATCAAGTAGAAAATATGGAAATTTATATAACTATCAAATGTTTAAAGATTTTATAAGATTTTAATGATTTTGGCAGTACCTATATGCCAGTATGATAAACTAATAATAATTAATAAGTAATACAGCATGATCTGTACATAAAATATTTACTAAATTTATTTATTTATTGTAACTTATTTGAGATGCATAAAATATATTATACTATGTTTTATAAACAGTAAATCCTATAATATGTTGACAAACTGGAAGTACTTTCAGTACTCGGGTACTTTTTCCAAATTATCTATATTAAAAAAAAATATTAAAAACTAAAATGTTATCCTAAAACAAACGACAGCAATCTAAACAAAAATAAAATCTACACCGTTGCATTTGTAACGATTAGCCGTCCAGTTCAATCTATGTCAAGCGTTAGCCATACTTTACCTGATTTTCCTTGGGCCGCAGACATATTATTTTTATGTTCCGTGGACCGCACTGTAATTAAGTACCTATAGTTGAAGAGAGGGAAGGGTTAATTCACAGCGGATAAAAATAAATCGGTCCGCTGGGTGAGTTATGCCTATGACTTTATGAGTATATTAGTATAGTATTATACTAAAGTAATATCTTATGTTTATTTTAATATCGATTAAACCAAATGAAGAACAACCTATGTACCTATATATAGGAATAAAATCCGACAGATCCCTCACCCAAGCAGCATCTGGAGGATGTGACAAATTAATTCAAAAACCTCAGTATCAACATAGTATTTGGAAAAAAATAGTACAAACCATTAAAAAAAATAGTCCTTCTTACCTCTCCAATTGTTTTAGTGTAAGCGTGGCACACTTGTTTGAACAAGGATCGCCTATTTTACAGAATTGTACACACAACTTCATCAAACCATGCAGATTAAAACAGGAACGATATTAGGCCTTTATAAATCCAGTGGTTACCAGACACTTGCAATCGTCGCTAATACAGATCCACCAACTCTGCGCAAAGGCAAGAGTTCTAAACGAATTTTAAACAATATAAAAAAATAACCAACCCATCATATTATAGTCCCATTGTCCAGGCGTATTATTAAAAAGCATTAAAAAATGTCTGATTTCTATAAACCCTCAAATCTAGACACCTTATTTTCCATTTTGAATATAAAAACTCGGAAAGAAACGTTGAGTGAAAATTGGAAAAAACGGTGAAAATCATCAATTTACGGAACTCATTTTTGATAAATAATCTGGACATAGAAATTGCCGACTTGAAAAACTTCTGACTACTCTCAACAGAGTTAGAACTTAGCTGGGAAAATTTGTCTACATTCTGTATAAATGAGGTTTGTTAGAATGACCAGAGGAATAACCTAATTGTGAACTGTAAAAGGAACAGTCCGTGAAACGTATACTTATATCCTACGACTTTAGTCCTTAAACTAGATTTCAGGGAGGTATCAGAAAACTTCACAAAGCGTTTATAATCTCCAATGTTGTGAACATTAAAAATATTCACAATTTTAATGATATTTAATATTATAGTTACATACCTTGTTAGTTTTTGTGTGTTATATTAATCTAGTAATTTAATTATTTATTTATTTTCAAAGTTTATGTGTACAATCCGAATTTATGTCATCGTATGCAATAATAAACCACACAAATAGTTGATATACTATTATAGTCTTTCGGTCACGGCCCATTTACCCTGCCTGTTTTAATATTTATGATAAACGTCTACTCAATTATAGACGAAGTCAACCGTGTATAGAGCACATACAAAATATTATTATTATTTTTAAAAAAAATATATAAAGATTATTAAAAGCATATGCACTCCTCTGTCTCCCAATTTTTTTTTTTTTAATATAGGTACGTATATTAGGTATGTATTTTCGTATTATTTTATAAGATTAGAAAATAAATTAACGACGATCGTGGTAAATGCGTAATCGTCGTTTAGTTTTAATTGAATTCAAATATTATAGAGGTCGAGGTGTTTACAATAGTATTATTTTAGCTTTCCGATAACAATTTAATCAACGTCGTTTTATTCAACAATTATTTACTTTAATTTTAATTGAACCGTGGACATTTTTTAGTAAAAAAAATAAATTAACACTTTTGAATAAAAAAAAAATAATAATTAACAATCTAAAGTCACTGCGACAACATATTTTTATTGATGGGTATAATTTCATTGATGTGTTAATTTATACCCATGATTGATTGCATTATATAATTACATCAGCAAAACAAGTACTTACCTACACTTTAAATTAATTTAAAATTAAAACATAAGAAAAAAACCATGTTTGCTCTTTATACTGTTGCTTTAGGTGTTATATTTAAAATTTAGGTACACTGCTGTCAAACATTGCTCAGTTATTCGATTAAATGTAACAAAATTACAACACAGTAATTAAAATGTTCAAAATTGAAAATAATATGCTTTATGTAGAGGAAGATGTTTCCAAATTCGTTTACACAAGTTATTAAAATGATAAACACAACTGAGTACCTGTAAATAGTTTTAAAAATATATAAAAAAAAACATAACTTGTTAATCAACGTTGAATATTATATTTATCCATTTGTGGATATTGCGGAATTGAAAGGGCTTAAATTCCGCTTAGGATGTTTTTTTTAATCCCCTACCCAGAAGGATTAGTCCACGAATAACTATTATAAATGATAATATTTATGGATAATGGATATATCATATATATTATAACATTTAGTTTAAAATATACATAATCTATATATATAAAAATGAAGCGTGAAAAATTGTCGTTACCTCATTAATAGAGAACGACTAGTCCGATTAAGCTAAAAATTTTTTTAAGATGTTCGTAATTGCCAGAAGAAGGATTTTACTAAAGAAAATTTTAGGAAAATTTACCGGAAAAGTATGAAATCTCGATGTAAAAAATATACAACAGTGCATTATATTATATTAGTTGCTATTGGTTAATCGGGCTTCTTTGTTGATTTGCATTATTTTTTTTTGTCAATATATATATTATAATATAATAGAGGTAAAAGATAAATTTTGAACACCTTATACCGAATATTAAATAACGAAATTAACAAAGTTGAGTCATATGGAGTTGGTACATTTAACGGGAAACGAAGTGCACGGGATCAGCCAGTAATATTATAATAATCACTATTGTTGTATTATATTTACTACTTTTTTTATATTTATTTACATTATTTTTAGAGGCCAAATTTAGGCTGTACATTTATGTTTGAAGTAAATTAGTCGCTCATTTTTATAATGCATAAAAAAGTCAAGCTCCCCCCCCCCCTTCATCTATACAAATTCAACCAAATATTAGCAAATGTGTTTATCTAATAACTCTAATTTGTAGGTACCTTGCTTACTAATTAGAATACTATAGTCGCCATGATTAATATATTATTATATTTCAAAACATTGTATTAACATAATTATGGGAGGATTCAAATCAGTTTCCCTAGTTTCCCTTTAGTTCAATAAATATTTTATACATTTGAATATTTATTACATTATTATGTAAATACTAAATAGCATGTAGCATTGTAGTCGTTGAATTTGATAAACAAACGATTGCAAAAAAATAAATAATACCGATCATTTAGTAAAAAAAATCTGCCAAATAATTTAAATATTCCATTACTAAATATCTCAATTCAAAATTACTTAGAAATTTCAATTTACACGTATACATACTAAACTCTATAAGTATAGGTACACACACAACATTTTTGGATTAAGTACAATTACAAACTACAAACTTTAATCCTTGTATATATAAAAGAACAGGCCTGTTTTATGTAGCAATTCTCTGACAACACTATTGAACTTTTTTCCAATTTTTTTCACA